TATATATATATATATATATTATTTTGATGGGTGGCTATACATTATAGAGTTCTCTTTTTTGGGTGAATAATTTGGAGCAACGATCTCTTATAATCACATACAGTTTGAGCATAAGAAATAATCTTTTAGAGATCTTACTTTTTATTTTTTACCAATCTCGTATTAAACAGGTCATATAACTGAAATAACAATTATAATAACTACAAAATCAAATTTCGTGAATAATATGTATAAGTTCTTGAAAAATAAGCAGTTGTCATGAGATACGCACCCTGTATATGTACTAACCTATGAATGTAAGATATGTGTTTTACATGAGGGTGTTCAAAATTTTGGTGAAAATTGATCTAAATAAAAATGAAACCAACCAATCAAATAATTTATTTTTTGTTAAAAAAAAATGTGTGGTTTGGTTTTATTAAAAATTAAAGAAAAATTGAACAAAACCGATAAATATATTCCCGCGCATATGTGTGTGTGTTCAAAATTCATGTCGAAGTTTCTCTTTTTTTTTTTTGGTAATAACATATGAAAATATTACTATTACTTACAAATAATACACCTAAAGAGCACTGAGATTACTGCTACCTCTAATTGTGAGGTACAACATAGTCCAGCCTCAAAGAACCATTAGCATTAACTACAACAATCTTTGCAGTAAAGAACTACAACTACGTGCTCTCTTAGAGCTCCTCGTATGTTCCAGCCTCTCTTGTAATTCCTTTTTGATCTGTCTGGTTGTTACCTCTATATTTACATTTGCTGCCTTAAAATGTTTTCTGTTCCTAGCTTTCCAAGTGTGGTAGATCACAACTCCAAGAACTGTTATTGCTATCTCTTTTTTAAATTGCCTCTAGTGTCTTCCTTTAATCCACTGTATTGACTGCAATACTTATCCCTATGCCTGACCATATTTCCAAATTGTTTCTCAGCTCTATTGTCCATCCACATTCATAGAAAAGATGGACCTATGTTTCCTCCTTTGAATCCTCACACAACTCGCACATATTCGAGTCTACTTGAATCTGCAATCTACTCAATCTTTCCTTTGTTAATAACACATTAAGAATATGTGCCTTGGAAGTAGTAGTGAACTCCAAACCAGGTCTGCCTCCTTCCATCTCTGTAAATTGCCTAACAAGGTGTTGTATCTACTCGATACTAAATACTTACCATTGGTCGTCAAGAAATATATACCATTTTGATATCATTGAGCCATGTCTGTTTTAAGGAAATTCAGTTTCCTCCAACACCAACTACTGTCTTGTGGTGGTGTGTGGTCCTAGAAGTCTTGATTACCTTTCATGTATAACCCATGTACCCATCTGATCCACAAGGTGCCTTGCTTCATAGCCAGTTGCCATATCAGTTTACCTACTGAAGCCACATTCCATTTAGTACAATTATTTATATTCAATCTTCCATAATTCTTTGGAGCACATACTTTATCCCAGGATACTAATGCAATCTCTCTTATCCTCATTGCACCCCCATAAGTAATTCTTACATCTTTTATCTACCTCCTTAATGACACTTTGTGGCATATAAAAACTGCTCCCCAAAAATTATATAAAGAGAACATTACTGCAATAATTATCTGTAGTCTCCCTACATAGGATAGAGTTTTTGAGTAGCCACTAGTAATCATGCTCGTAATCTTCTCAACTAGCTGATAACATTCAATCTTGCTCCAATTTCTTGAGGATAAGGGTAGTCCCAGGTATCTGATTGGTAAAAAACCCAGTGAAAAACATTTTATTGCAAGCAGCTGCTCCTGCAATCCCTCATCTATACCAGCCACAAACAAGTTTGATTTATCTAATTTTGCTTCCATCCCAGTTACCTCACTAAAATGTTAAAGTGCTTCCCTTACTCGACGCACTGAGCTAATGTCTGCTTTACAGAGGATCATTAGATCATCAAAAACAATCAAGTGAGTCAATTTGATCTTTTTTAAACAAAGGGTGAAACTTGAAGTCTGGCAAGCTACTCATCCTTTCCAGTATTCTTGTAAGATACTCCATGACAAGCACAAATAACATAAGGGACATTGGATCTCCTTACCTTAGTCCTCTTTTCCCCTCAAAATACCTATGCCCTATTCTATTTACCTTGACAGAAAATCTTGTGGAAGATATATAAGTCGTCACTAACTGAATAAATATTGCAGGAAATCCATACCCAAGCAGAGCCTCCTCTATGAATTCTCACTCCACCATATCATATGCCTTCCTTAAGTTTGTCTTCATAAGGCATCTCGGTGTGGTTTTCTATCATAGTGTCTAAGCAAATCATGGCATATCACCACATTATGTACTAGTGATCTGCCTTCTACAAATGCAGCTTGATTTTTAACCATAATGGTTGTAATTACCACTATCAGACTTCTGCAAATTATCTTTGATATACACTTATATATCACATTAAAACAAGATATTGGTTTGAATTGTCCTGCATTCTGTGGTACTTCAATCTTGGGAATTATTGAAATCATTGTTGCATTTAGATATGTCAGCAATTTTCTATTGTCAAGGAGTTCTAGGATGGCTTTAGTGATGTCTACACCAATGATCTTTCATGTAGCTTTAAAGAATTCACTCCCATATCCATCTGGACTTGGGCTTTTGTTTTTGTTAATGCTGAACATTGATTCCTTAACATCATTCTCTCCATATGGTTGGGCTAGCTGTAATTGCCGCCTGACTGATAGTACTCGTCCATTAAGTAGGAATCTTCTAAATGCTCTTGTTCTGCTTTGTTTTTTCTGCCCCAATAACTCTTGATAGAACTCCACAAGTATATTAGCAATAACTGTGGGATCATGTTGAACTTCATCATGTTTGTCCCTCAACTGTGTAATAGCATGTTGGAACCTTTTGTGCTTAATTACTGAATAGAAATAGCTAGTGTTGTCATCTCCTAGCTTCACCCAAGTAGTCTTACTCCTTTGTTGCAAAAATACTTCAGCCATATATGACATTTGTCTGAATTTCTGATATGTTTCCTTTTCCAACTGCATCAGTGTGAGATCTTCTGGATGGAATTGTACTGAATTTTGTACCTATTCCAGTTCTTCCCTTATATCATTAACTTCATTTACAATGCTTATGATCCATCCCTGCTTCAACTCCCTTAGCTTCCTTTTCAATAGCTTTAACTTCCTCACCACTTGCAGCATAGTGCATCCTTCCAACTATTGGTCCTAACCTGCCTTCACTATATATAGGAAGTGAGGGTATTGTGACCAGGTATTATAAAACTTGAAAGGTATTTTCTTTGGCATTGGGGCATTGGCTAGCTGAACACTTATGGGGTAGTGATCACTTATCCCCCCTGGGAGGAAAATGGTATTATATGCTAGCATCATGTCCAATCATTATTTGTTAACAAACACCCAATCAATCTTGGAGAAGATTCTTCGATCACCACTTCTATCATTTCAAGTGTACCTACTATATTTTGTGGTAATTCAATAAATCAAACAAGCATCTACACATTCATGGAAGTCCATGACCTCACCCAGTGTGATAGGATTTCCACCTACTCTGTCATTCATGTTCAATACAACATTGAAATCTTCCAAATATTAACCAAGGTATTTGGAACCCTTGGTTTGTAGTCCTCAAATAGTTCCATAGATCCTTTCTCTCATCTCTACTATTGAAAACATACACAATAGTAAGGAGAAATACCCTATGCCCTGTCACATGAGTCACTCTACATGTTATTGCTTGAGCTGCCATGCTTTGAACATTGAGTTAGAAGTAGTCAGGCCTTCATGTAATCCACACTCTTCCATCATAATACGTATCTAGGTTAGTTATAATAGTCCAACCACTAAACATATTAGTTGCTAACTTATCTATTTTGTTAGCATTTACTTTTGTTTCTAACAACCCAATTAATCCAGCATCCTGCTTATTGCAAAGGATTTTAATCTTCTTTTGCTTATTAGGCCCGTTAAGGCCTCTTACATTCTAGCAAATTAAATTATTCATTACTCATATTAGGAATAGATTTACCCCCATTTATACTGACCCTACCAACCTGCACATGTTTACTTGTTCCTGACTCATCAAGAACATGAAAGGTATTGACTGTCGTACTCCTCACTTGCTTGATGCTTTGTGGTTGTTGCTTACTTGGATGTAATGGTGTAATCCCCCATTCATTTACCTTGCTCTTCAATTTCCCATCTGTTTGCTTGGAACCTATAACACTTTCCCCTTTTTGCTTCTGTTGGCTAACTTCCTGCCCTGGCAAGCTGGAGCTGGTGTTTGCTTGTTTGGCCTTAGTGTTCTGTTGTGTATCTTTCTTTTCCCCCACATTTATGGATTTGCCTCAATTGGTACTGCAGTTGGCTTCTTCTTCCTACACTCATCTTCTTTGTGCCCATATTTACTACTGAACTTACACAGGCTAGGTTTTCAGTCGTACAATATCCTTTGTTCAATCAAAGCTTCTTTCTCATTCCTAAACCACACCTTATCTGGCAGTTGTGCTTCCATTTCCACCTCAATCAGCATGCGAGAACAAATGAGTCGAGTTTTCTTTTCTTTGTTTTTATCAACCATTAACGGCTTCCCTACCAATCTTGCTCAGCCCTTTAGGGCTCCAAATATTTGAAATCCAATCCTGGCAGTCCTATCTTGATTGATATAGTGTAGAGCTCATCTCTTCTGAACTCCATGTCTGCTGTCCAAGCCTTAACAATAAAGGATTTGTTGTCGAAGTGGTATATTCCACCTTCAACAACTTCATTCTTCCCCACCTCTGAATCAAATCGCACCATCACAATTCCATTCCTTAACATTGAGATCTTATTTATGCCATGTTTTCCTCACAAAAGCTAGATATAGCCATTTAGAACATAGAATGGTAGAGAAGCTGTTACATCTCGCATTTTCGTACGTTAAAGTTTCGTTCCCAAGTTAATCGACGTAGACTCGGGGAGGAGATTATTTTTGAGGTTATAAGCATATATCTATTTATAACTGGCGATAAGTAAGTGCCGTGAAGGGTAAAGGGTAAACGAATCAAAGAAAATGAGTTTCGTTGAAAGTTGTCAATTTGGGATAAAATACAGTGCGAACTATAATATCCGGTATCTATGGACTAGTGTCATATAGGGTACCACTTGACCATAATAGTAGGGTACTTAAAGTGTGTTAAAAGTAAGTAGTATTTTAAATAGTTTGAGATAATTCTTAATTATATAGATAATTGGGTACTTAATGATTTTTGGTGGGAGATTAGCTAATCAATTATCATTGTTGGATAAGCTTAACCCCCCCCCCCCCCCCCCNCTTTAGGCCAAAGCTTCGTCATCCTAATGGGGTCCACACAAACCAACCATTTTGAGAAATCTCATTACATCATTTAGGTTGTATGTTAAGGCTATGCTAACGGATGGAGATCATTTAGGTTATATGTTAAGTCCATGCTAACGGATGGAGCTCAAATAGCTCGTTTGAAAATTCATAATACGATAAAGCGTGAGATTTGAGATTCTAAGAGAGTACAGTGCAATCTCTCTCAAGAATATCATACGGATTTTTTCCTACTTTGATCCGCCGTTACGTGTTTTGTCACAATTAACGTGTGTTAGAGGGATTGTCAAGAGAATTGGTTCAGGTATGTTAAGGATATCCCTTCTTTTTTTTGGCATGATCCGTACGATACAAACGAAACAAGCAAATGCACAACTTTCATAAATGACTCTATTCATAGAAGTATTAGAGATGCCTACGTTCTTGATTTACTATGTGAATTATTATTATATCTTCTGTTCATGGGTCTTAGAAAAATACGTAGTTGATAAAGTTTATCCGAAGACATATTGGTCTTGTAACATTCCGAGAAATCTTATTAACGTATTTCATATGCATTTCATTCATTTATACATGTACATTGACCCATGACCAGATGGCGTTATATACGCGTATATTATATATATATGGGTTATGGAAAAAGGTTACGGCGTTATATACGCACCACCACCTGATCAGCTGGTATATGTTGATAATTTTGCCCACAGTGGCCGAGATGATATGATGGGATGCCCTGAGAGGCTTGATGATGTTACGTACACCTATACCTATTCATGATACGACATTTATATGCATGTGCATGAAATTATGAATATTTCAGGATTTACAAAGTTATTTAGGTTTACCGGCGGAATTCTTTATTCCATTTTTCATCTATGTCTTTTATGTACTGATTTTTATGCCTTACATACTCAGTACATTATTCGTACTGGCGCCCTATTTCCCGGGGCTTGCGTTTCATGCCCGCAGGTGCAGGTAGATAAGCTGACGGTCCCCCATTCTTAGGATCCTTGATCAGCGAGTATTGGTGTGCTCCATTTGATCCAGAGCTGCTTTGGATTTTGGTACGATATGGTTTTATACATATATGGGTATGACGGGGCCCAGTCCCATCCTTGTACAGTTGTATATTCTATTATAGGTCTGTAGACAGTTATGTATAGTTGGATAGTATGTGGCCTTGTCGGCTTCGAGGTTTGGATATATAGTTGTCTATAGCAGCCTTGTCGGCTTGCCCTACCATATTACGCATGTATATGTATATATGTCTTTTGGACAGGTTTCCCCTAACGTATGTTATTCTTGTAATTCAGTAGGTTATTGACAAATGTTATTTATGTTTATATCTTAAACGCATGCTTAAGGGTGTTCGACAGGTAGGACTCGGGCACTCGTCATGGCCCATCGGTTGGGTCGTGATAAAATGGTATCAAAGTAGTTATGTTCTAGGGTTGTCTACAAATCGTGTCTAGTAGAGTCTTATTTATGAATGTGTTGTGCATCACATTTATAAACATGAGGCTACAGGACATATAGGATATTATCATCCCTTCTTATCTGAAATCGTGTGATATAAGGATTCATTTTCCTAACGGTATATTATGCTTTCAGCGATGCCAAAGAAGGCTACAGCCACCCAGAAGGGCAAATCTATGGCTGATGAGACTATTAGTCGAGCGTCACGAGTTACCAGGGCTCGGAGAGAGTCTCATAGTGAGATTCTATCTCAGACTTCACATACCCCACCCTCTCCAGAGGAGCTCTGAGGGGCACCAGCTCTAGCGCCCGACCCTATACGTCCAGCTCTTCAGCCAGATGCACCGGGTTAGGAGATGAGAGATGTTGTTCAGCTATTAACTCGATTAGTATCCGCACAGGCTCGGTATCAGGAAGTAGGTATTGGTCATGCAGATAGGTCCTTCAGTGCCAGGGTTCGTGATTTCATTAATTTGGACCCTCTGGTATTTACTGGAGCATATCCAAATGAGGACCCTCAGGTATTTATCGATATGATGTAGAGGACGTTGAGGGTAATGAAGGCCACTGTGACCGAGTCAGTTGAGCTACCTTCCTATAGACTCTAAGATGTTGTAGTTAATTGGTACGAGTCTTGGGAGTTATCCAGAGGTGAGGATGCCCCTCCAGCGGTATGGCAAGAGTTTATAGAGGCTTTTTTGGTCATTATCTGTCACCAGAGCTTAGACGGGTTAGAGTTTATAGGTTCTTGACCCTTCAGTAGGGTAACATGAGTGTTTGGGAGTACAGTCTTTAGTTTGATTCGTTGGCCAGGTATGCTCCCACTATTGTATCTAAGATGGAGGATCGGGTTCACCGGTTCGTGATGGGGTTGGAGCCGCACCTGCTAAATGATTGTATGTCGGTCTCACTTCAGCCAGGCATGAATATTTCTCGTATTCAGGCATACGCTCAGGGTGTAGAGGAGTGTAAGCAGAAGCAGAGGGCCGATCATGAGCATGATAGGGGCCAGAGTAAGAGAGCGAGATATTTGGGTCCTTCTAGCGAGTTTCGAGGTGGTCAAAGACAACAATACCCGAGGTATCCAGCCCAGCCATCGGCTAGCGCACCCCCTCAGTTTGCCGATAAGAGATTTGACTATTCTATATATTTGGGGCCTGGTCAGAATTCCAAGGCCTTAAGTTCTCAGTATAGGGGCGAGTCAAGTAAGATGAGGGCCGCCCTTGCCGCGATGTGCTCAGTGCGGTAAACAACATGCCAGGCAGTTTCGTATGAGGTTGGGTGTTTATTATACTTGTGGTTATCCAGGCCACGTTATGAGGGATTGTCCAACGAGAGGCGATGCAAGCATAGTTCAGCCAGCGGGATCTGTAGCTGGTTCGTCATCATCAGTACGCCCCCCTGGGCAAGGTTCACAAGCACCAATCGATTGTGGTAGAGGCAGAGGTGGAACATCTATCTCGAGCGGTCCTCAGAACCGCATATATGCATTAGCAGGATGATAGGACCAGGAGTCATCACCTAATGTTGTTACAGGTATATTATCAGTCTCCTCATATGATGTATATGCACTAATTGACCCAGGTTCCAGCTTACCATGTGTTACTCCGTTGGTTGCTAGTAAGTTTGGAATAAAACCTGGATTGGTTAAACCTTTTGAGGTATCCACACCTGTTGGGGATCCGGTGATAGCTAGGCGGGTATATAGAGATTGTATAATAGTAGTTCATAGTCGATCTACAATAGCAGACCTAATCGAGTTAGATATGGTAGAATTTGATGTTATAATGGGTATGGATTGGTTGGCTTCTTGTTATTCCAACGTTGATTGTAGATCAAAGATGGTCCGATTTCAATTTCCAGGGGATCCCGTTTTGGAATAGAAAGGTAATACGGCATCGCCGAGAGGTAGATTTATTTACTATCTCAAGGCAAGGAAGATGATCAGAAAGGGCTATATTTATCACTTAGTTTGGGTGCATGATGTGAAAGTAGATTCACCAACCATTCAATCTATCCCTGTGGTAAATGAGTTTCCCGATATTTTTTTCCGATGAGCTTTCGGGTCTTCCGCCAAAGCGAGAAATTGAGTTTGCTATTGACCTACTACCAGATACTCAACCAATATCTATTCCTTCATATAGAATGACACCCACAGAGTTGAAAGAGTTAAAGGAACAACTAAAGGACTTGCTTGAAAAAGGCTTTATCAGACCTAGTACATCACCATGGGGAGCACCTGTGTTATTTGTGAGGAAGATGGTTCCTTGTGGATGTGTATTGATTATAAACAGTTGAATAAGGTGACGATCAAAAATAAGTATCCACTCCCGAGGATTGATGATTTATTTGATCAGTTGCAAAGTGCCAAGTATTTCTCGAAGATAGACTTGAGGTCCGGGTACCATCAGGTAAGGGTTAAGGAGAAAGATATTCCGAAGACAGCATTCAGGACCAGATATGGGCATTTTGAGTTTCGTGTTATGTCATTCGGTTTGACCAATGCCCCAGTAGTATTCATGGATTTGATGAACCGTGTGTTCAGACCCTTTTTAGATCTGTTCGTAATTGTATTTATTGATGATATATTGGTGTATTCTCGTTCAGAGACTGAGCATGTAGATCATTTGCGTACTGTTCTCAGAGTTCTACAAAAAAGGAAGTTGTATGCAAAATTCTCTAAATGTGAATTCTAGTTGAACTCTGTAGCTTTCCTTGGGTATATTATTTCGGGTGAGGGTATCCGGGTTGATACACAAAAGATTGAG